TTGGCCACAGATTGTCTTATGGAACACAAATTAGCACAAGAGAACACCATTCACACTCTACTAGTTGAATATTTCCAGACATCCTCTATATCAGGGATGAACAATTGGCAGCCCCTTTTGTAGGCCCCTCCAGTCCCGGTCTCAACTTACTGTGGTGCAATTTCAATTTCAAAATGTGTTTGTTATCGGCAGTTTTTATCTTGTTATGTCAGTGTCACGAATACGCAGGGAGTCAGGAAGCAGGTGCAGAAGGAGAGTTTAATAACAATGATGAAAGGCAAATGAACAAAACAGGAGGTGCGTACTGAACATGAAAGCAAACCAATACTGCCTGATGACTGAGGCTACTGAGGGCTAAATAAAGGGAAGGTAATAAAGGTGATGATGTGCGTAATAATGGGGAGTAGGTGTGTGTAATGATGGGGAGGAGGTGTGTGTACTGATGGGGAGTAGGTGTGTGTAATGATGGGGAGCAGGTGTGTGTAATGATGGGGAGTAGGTTGTGTGGTAATGATGGGGAGGAGGTGTGTGTAATGATGGGGAGCAGGTGTGTGTAATGATGGGGAGTAGGTGTGTGTAATGATGGGGAGCAGGTGTGTGTAATGATGGGGAACAGGTGTGTGTAATGATGGGGATAGGTGGTGTGTGTAGTGATGGGGAGCAGGTGTGTGTAATGATGGGGGAGGAGGTGTGTGTAAGTGATGGGGGAAATTCAGATGGTTGGTATGATGGGGAGGAGTTTGTGTAATGATGGGGGACATAATGGTGGTGTAATGATGGGGAGGAGGTGTGGTTTTAATGATGGGGAAAGGCAGGATGTGTGTAAGGAGGGGAGCAGGGTGTGTATAAGGATTGGGGAGTAGGGTGTGTAAGAATGGGGACAGGTGTGTGTAATGATGGGGTAGGTGTGTGTAATGATGGGAGGAGGTGTGTGTAATGATGGGGAGTAGGTGTGTGTATGATGGGAGGTAGGTGTGGTGTAATGATGGGGAGGTGGTGTCTGTGGGGGTAAGTGTGTATGTGGGGAGAGTGTGTGTAATGATGGGGAGGAGGTGTGTGTAATGATGGGGACAGGGTGTGGTAATGATGGGGAGAGGTGTGTGTAATGATGGGGAGGAGGTGTGTTAATGATGGGGAGAGGTTGTGTGTAATGATGGGGAACAGGTGTGTGGTACTGATGGGGAGTAGGTGTGTGTAATGATGGGGAAGAGGTGTGTGTACTGATGGGAGGAGGTGTGTGTAATGGAGTGGTGGAGAGGAACAGGTGTGTGTAATGATGGGGAGGAGGTGTGTGTAATGATGGGGAGACAGGTGTGTGTAATGATGGGGAGGAGGTGTGTGTAATGATGGGGAACAGGTGTGTGTACTGATGGGGAGTAGGTGTGTGTAATAATGGGGAGTAGGTGTGTGTAATGATGGGGAACAGGTGTGTGTAATGATGGGGAGGAGGTGTGTGTAATGATGGGGAACAGGTGTGTGTAATGATGGGGAGGAGGTGTGTGTAATGATGGGGAACAGGTGTGTGTACTGATGGGGAGTAGGTGTGTGTAATGATGGGGAGTAGGTTGTGGTAACGATGGAGGGAGGGGATGTTGTGTACTGATGGGGAGGAGGTGTGTGTAATGATGGGGAGTACAGGTGTGTGTAATGATGGGGAGTAGGTGTGTGTAATGATGGGGAGGAGGTGTGTGTAATGATGGTTGCCAGGACCGGTGGTTATAGACTGGCGACGTCGAGCGCTGGAGAGGGGGAGCGGGTGTAGGCGTGACAGTCACAAAATTGTACGTAGGGCCCCCAAAAGCCAGACCCAGGAGCCACTGGGGCCACTCATGATAAATCCTGCTTTTTTTGTGGCCCCCACCCCCATCAAAATTGCCCATCCCTGGTCTTTATAATGTTGAGATGGTCTTGTGTCCGCCTTAACAATGGGAGTCATTGTAGTAAAATGTCGAAAGGCAGTTGGGAAGAGGCGAGATCAGGTGGGAACATTCTAGCCAATGAGAGGGCAGATACACGTGTGAACAATTGAACACAACTCCGATATATACTGAACAAAAATATAAACGCAACTTGCAGCAATTTGAACGAAATCAGTCAATTGAAATAAATTCATAAGGCCCTAATCTATGTATTTCACATGACTGGGCAGGGGTGCAACCATGGGTGGGCCTGGGAGGGCATAGGCCTATCCACTTAGCAGCCAGGCCCACCCACCAGCCAATCAGAATGAGTTTTTCCCCACAAAACAGCTTTATTACAGACAGTGGTCTTTTATTGTCACCAGCACAAGCTGCACCTGTGTAATGATCATGCTGTTAAATCAGATTATTGATATGCCACACCTGTCAAGTGGATGGATTATCTTGGCAAAGGAGAAACTCACTAATAGGGATTTAAACAAATGTGTGCACAACATTTGAGAGATAAGCTTTTTGTGGAACATATCTGGGATTTTTTTATTTAGTTCATGAAACATGGGACCAACACTTTACATGTTGCTTTTATAGTTTTGTTCAGTATAAACATTTTTGTTAAATTGCCGAGATGCCACGTGCATCCATTTATATCAGTACAGATTAAATAGAGCCCTCAGTCTTTGTTGTCCTTATGGATTTAGTGGGTGCAAGTGCATTGCAACAAACAGGCAGAATTTCGCTGGAAAGGTTAGCGCTGGATTAGCCCTGGATTTCTTAACACGCTACGATCAGGAGATTACACAGAGCGCTGAGCAAAAATAACCGTGGTTGCAACGAAAAGAACAGTGAAATAAACGACACCCTAGACCAGTGTTTCCCAACCCTGGTCCTCGAGTACCCCGCCCCAACAGTACACATTTTTATTGTAACCCTGGACAAGCACACCTGATTCAATTAGCTAACTAATCATCAAGCCCTCAATGAGTTGAATGAGGTGTGTTTGTCCAGGCTTAGAATGAAAATGTTGGGGGTACTTGAGGACTAGGGTTGGGCTAGACCAGCTGTTCTGACTGTTGCAGGATCAAAGCAGCTTGATACTAGACAGAGGAAAATGGTAATTGACTGGAAATGTAGCCTATGTCAATTACGATGATTTAGTTAACACATTTAATTGCAAACATTACTTAGCCAAATTATGCCTACACTCTTCAGCGAAAATAACATGATTGAAGACCAACGTTTAGTTAATTACCACATTGTAAATGAAAGTGATATGGATTACAGCAACGTTTGATATACAATTTAAATATCATTATGATGACGCACTTTACATCTGTTTCTTTGGTTAAGATAGCAACTTCCAAATAATAAGAAATTACTTTCCCTACCACATTTCTTTCCAATTTAGACATTGTTGCTTCAATGAAGCCCTAATGGCCTAATTACTGTAGCCCTGTAAGTAATTATAAAGGATCACTATTGATTGTTATCACGTTGTTCTACAAATAAATAATCTCTTCCATCTACATAACATTGTAAATGTTACTCTTCACTACCAGCCTAACCACGAACAGCTCGTCACGCATGGACAATCACGCCAAGCTGTATGCTGTTTGTAGGCTGTTGTTTTGTTTTTGAAAGTGATTTTTTTTTAAAATACAATTTGTGCAACTTTAACTAACTTTTTTAGATTTAGTTTAAAATGTCAAATGTGTAAGAAATTGTGATATTTTATTAAGACAAGTAAAATCATTAATGGATTACGTAAATTGGAAACGAAAAATGTATCCTACACCATGATTTTTCCATTCATAAAATGCGTAGGGTAGGCTATTGCCACATTAGATTTGCCGTGGTAAACTATGAAATTAAATACTTTATTTCAGTTGTAAGGAATGCTTGTCAAATAGATAAATCGCCCTTAGTCTGCTAAAATAGCAGGATTCAATTGTTCTCATAACTACCAGAGGGCAAAATAGTCTTGAAAAAATTTGGCAGCAATCAGGACTAACACCTTTAGGGAGAGGTCAATCGGTGGCCAATAATGTTTGCAATGGACGAAGGAGCATAAAGATGACGGCCCCCATGTACTTACCACAAACGCCTCATTTGCCGTATTGTACATTGCTCTCCGTTACTCTTTTTATGTAATGCCATTAGCACAGTATACATGATCCCAATTCCAAGATGGCGGCAATTTGAAAAAAATAAAAAGTAGATTGTGCTGATTTATAGGTACATTGAACCATGTCACGCGCCGTAGTTTAAAAAGTCTGTGGATAGTGCTCAAACAAAGATGTAATATCTGAATTCCTCCATCTTTATGCACCTTTGCCATTGAGATCAGCTGTGTGGGTGACTTCAGCCCATATTGATGGTTTAAAGGTCCAATGCAACCGTTTGTATCTCAATATCAAATCATTTCTGGGTAACAGTTAAGAACCTTACTGTCAAAATTTCAGTCGCATCTTGTGCCCAACACTTGTCTGTCCATCACGCATGTAAACAACTTGCTTGCCCACTCCATAGCAAGCTGCTCTAGAATCACCTTTATTTAACCAGGTAAGCCAGTTGAGAACAAGTTCTCATTTACAACTTCACTGATTGGTGAAGTAAATTAATGAGCTAAATCTGTCTGTTTTGCTGTTCAAACTGTTTCAGAACTTTATTTTGCTGGTCAGAACAGTAAAACGGAACAGAAAAAATGTGGTTCTGTTCAGAACAAAACTATTGGAAATGTATTTCAGGAACTCTCTTTGTTATTGGTCTATTAACTCATTTACCACCTGTTGTGTCACCAGACAGGCCAAAACTCCATCCCACCAAAACAGGACTTTGCTACTGTTATAACTGTGGAGTGAGTTATTTTACGCAACAGTTATTTGTCTTTGCGCTTATCTAATCTCTAATCTTTCTTGTCTCAGAATTATTACAAAATGTGTTCTCTTTGACCGACTGTCACCATGCAGCATGCCAGCATAAATGTTTCTAAAAAGTCAGTTATTTGCCAACCTTAATCCCCTCCCACAATCCCCAACACAGACATACACGCACACACACACACACTAACCCCTGTGCTCACACTAAAATATAACCAATCAAGATGTTGGGCCATCTGTATATACAAAAGAACACCAAGGAGTGTGTGCCTGTTTGTTCAGTATGATGGTGTTGACTCTCTCCAGTGGACTAGGGATTAATGCCACACAGCAAGGACTCTCCTTCTCCCTCAGCGGTCCATCGAAAGAGTAGTTAAGGCCTCGAGCGATTTAACTGAGCAGGTTATAATCCAGAAAGAGTCTATTTCCTCAGAAAAGCCACAGAAATTCCAGAGCAGATTAACTAACAAGGCATAGCAAAAGCATTGTTTCTTTTCCTGGTTAGATTTTTTGGCTGTTAAAGGGAACTTTTTGAATATAATGTAACATATTGAAGTGAATGGTCTGAATGGACTCTATGGAATCTTGGTCTCTCTCTGAAAATAACTCTTGCTGTGAAAGCTGTGTTTGTTCACAGTAGGATGCCTGCTAAAATCTGGACTTTTCTTCAACAAAGACAAGGCTGATGCATAACGGAATCTATTTAACAGCTTTTGTGACTCAAGTGAAGTATTTGATATATTTTGAAGTCAAACCTTTTAGATGTACTTTGTCCATATGTTCTATAATGGGAATGAACAGGTATGTTTACATCTCTGCATCCATTGGACATTCTTGTCTGAGTTATTATTTTTGCACATAATCTGATTATGAAAGAATAACAGTAAACATCACAATGAAAATGATTGCAAGTATTGCTATACTTCTTGCCATTAATGTGCTTCTGTACGTCTTTCACAGGTAGGCTACAAGTCTCATCAAGTGTAGTACAATATTTTAAAAACTTTTTTAGCTTGAGTGTTTGAGGAGTGTTTTTACTCGTTGGTATTTTTAGACGTGTTACAAAAGAAGTTGAAGAGGAGAATCACATTTCTTGCTACAGCAACTTCTCTTCTCAAGCAAACCCCACTTCTAGTTGTGTCACACAGCTATGGCCTTTGGTGACCTCCTAGAACAGGTGGGCAGCACAGGCCGCTTCCAGGTCCTGCATGTCACCTTGCTCTGTATGCCCATCCTTATGATGGCCAGTCACAATCTGCTGCAGAACTTTGTGGCCTCAGTGCCCCCCCACCACTGCAGTGCCCACAGGAACCTGTCCGTGTCTAAGCTGAGCCCGGAGCAGGCTCTGCTGCTCACCGTGCCCCAGGACATTAAGAACGGCAGGCCGGAGAGATGCCAGCGCTATGCTGCTCCCCAGTGGCAGCTCCTGGCAGAGAATGGGACCTACAGTCCAAAGGTGGAGAGAGACAGCAGTGATGATACTGATTACCTTCTAGATGCAGAGCTGCAGGGCTGTAACGATGGATGGGAGTACAGCATGACAGAGATGAGCTCCACAATTATCTCTGAGGTAACAATCATGGATAAGGTTTAAGTAGTAGTTTTACGTGCGTCCACACTAAAATTAGAAAGAGATCAACGACAATAATAATTGTAAATGTGTTTAAGAGTATGTTTTAAACTGTCAGTTAGATGTATTTTCTTTTTTTCTCTTGTCAGTGGAACTTGGTCTGTGATCTTCGTTCGTTGAAGCAGATGGGACAAACCATTTATATGGGAGGGGTGCTTGTGGGAGCTGTAATCTTTGGGGGACTGTCGGACAGGTACCACTGCTTTTCTTATTGAATAGATCCTCAGATCTCGATTGTCAGATAATTTCTGTCTTTCTGTGCCAGTTCTAAGGCCTGGTTTCTCTCTTTGATATTTTTGTTGGCTTATCTCAGACAAGATACCTCTTCTGCAAAGACAAGCCTGGAAAATACTGGAAGTCTGCAGCTGCAGCAGTTATTCAGATGCTACACATGGTACTCTTCAGGAGATTAATGGCAGACATCTCCTCTGTGCCACTCTCTCTCTCCGTTCTGTCTCAGATTTGGACGGCGTTTCCTGCTGCTGATCTCTAACCTGTTGATTGCAGTGGGAGGGACGTGTGCTGCCTTCTCCACCTCATTCTCCGTCTTCTGCCTCTTCCGCTTCATCACTGGCATGGCCATTTCTGGCCTGGGGCTCAACTCCTTCTCTCTCAGTACGTTACAGGAAGGGCTGGGTAGGCAGTGGGAACTGCAGCCTAAGGTGGGAAATGGTCAAGAAGAGAGAGGCTGAACCGATGGCCAACCCACCATGTAATTACTCTCTCCGTCTCTCTTTCTCTCTCTAGTTGTGGAGTGGATTCCCACAAGAGTGCGAACAGTGGTGGGTACAGGGACAGGCTACTGTTACACAATGGGTCAGCTGATCCTGGCAGTAGTGGCCTACTTCATTCGGGACTGGCGCTGGCTAACACTGGCTGTCTCCGTACCTTTCTACATCACCTTCCTCTACTCATGGTGAGACCCAAAGGATTGGAGCAGCTATGACACTTTACCCAGCAAGGCTATTTGATTATAACATGTTGTTTACCACATCTGACTTGTGCAGGTGGTTCCTGGAGTCTGCAAGATGGCTCGTCCTGAACAGAAAATCTGAGCAAGCGGTCAAAAATCTCAAAAGAGTGGCCCGAATCAATGGACGCCGTGAAGAGGGTGACAGAATCAATCTTGAAGTAAGGAACTGTGTGTTAGTGTGTGTTTATGTGTGCATGCACTTATGTGAATGTACTCAATACTGTCTCTGTGTGTCCAGATGCTGCAGGATTCCATGAAGAAGGAGATGTCCTGCTCACAGGGCTCCTACTCTGTAGTGGACCTGCTCCGCACGCCCACCATGAGGAACATCACCATCTGTCTCAGTGCTGTCTGGTCTGTCTCCTCTACTCTACTCTGCCTTTCACTACGACAAAGTGCTGCCCAAAAATCCATTCTAAATCAAATGATCATGACACCCACTTTGACATTCTTTAAGGTTCTCCACAAGCTTCGCCTACTATGGTCTATCTATGGATCTGCAGAAGTTTGGCGTGGACATCTACTTGATTCAAGTGATCTTCGGAGCGGTGGACATCCCTGCCAAAGTAGTGGTTACAGTGTCCATGAGTATATTTGGGCGACGTCCCTCACAGTGCGCTGCACTCATCCTGTCTGGAGTCACTGTTTTGATCAACATATTGGTGCCATACGGTGAGGGGTTTTGCCTGTGTTGCTTGAGGGAGTCATTGTGCTACCAGCACTCGTGTAATTTCATTGTTGTCTGTTGATGTTATCGCTTCCTTGCAGAAAAACAGACCGTGCGCACCACTCTAGCCGTGCTGGGTAAGGGTTGCCTGGCCGCGTCATTCAACTGCTGCTACCTCTACTCTGGAGAGCTGTACCCCACCGTCGTCCGGTAATCCCAACTCTACCAATGACACCCATCACCTACAGGATGCTTTAATTGACTATAGTATTCCAATACTGACTGTAAAACGTATGTTTTTTATCTAATCTTTTTACCTACTGTATATATTAGCATTAGGTAATATATGTGATGAAGATGAATGCATAGGCTAAATGTATTCTGTTCAGGTGTTTGATGATATTTGATAGTTGGGGATTCTCTTCTGTGCCCCAGGCAGAATGGCATGGGCTGGGTGTCCATGATGGCTCGTGTAGGAGCGATGGTGGCCCCCATGGTGCTGCTCCTTGGGGAGGCTGTCCCGTGGCTGCCTGGCTTCATCTATGGGATAGCCCCCATCTTAAGTGGGGTGGTCGCCATCTATCTGCCAGAAACACTTGGTTCACCACTACCCGACACTATCCAGGATGTGGATGAGAGGTAAGTCGAGACACCGTCTGAAGAGCAGTAGAATATTGAACGCTGAGCTAGAAGTAGCAAAGTGAGAACAACTCCCAACTGCAAACTAGCTTTATTTTCTTTCATTCAGAAGTTGCAAGAAAACAAGCCCCAATGCCTTGCCCAAGAAGGAGGAACTGGCCATGAATGATACCAATAATACCTTGTACAAGGAAGCTGCCTGAAGAATCACACTTATCAAATGCTACTGAACTTGCCTGTATAGTCTAAATAGATACTGCAGTTGCTTGCGCTACAGTTTTTTCACAAGGACTGTAAGGTAGCAATCAATATTGTAACTGGTCCACTGCTGTAGGAGAAAATGACCATGATTTGTTTTGATATGTAAGCGGACCAATATGGCAAATAGCATCAAATAGTCAGACAAGGCTATCCATGTTTGGATACACTGGCCTTTTCGGACATTAGAAGACTGATGAATTATGAGCTACGTAGCCTAATGAAATTACCTGTAGTGGTCTTTTTAACATTTAATATTTCAACAGTAAAACATTAATTAATGCTAGATTGTGAGTAAATAAATATATGCTTCAGTATATTGTGTATTTTAACTACAACTTTATTTGCATTTTTCTATGGGCCAGGCCTATATTTTTATGTTCTATACTAGTATATGTTGTATGTATTCATTAAAATAATGACAACCTTATCCTCACCTTCTATCAGTGGGAATGGTCTTATCCATGTGGCTATATTGTTTGTGACTGTGGCACAATTTCCTTTACAGTCCATGAAACTGGTCATCTTGACTGGGCATGGTATTTGTAGTTGGAATCTCTTTGTTTTGCTTAGGCCTACAGTTTATAAGGTAGAAAATAAAATGTCAGATGTCTCCATGTTTTCCCAGAAGATGGGGAGGGGAAAATGCAATCATATCACCTAAATAAAAGATGCGTCACATGGTTACTGTTTTAATTATCAGAAGAAGATTAGATAGATACCCTTACACAAAAATGTTTTAGGACATGATGCCCAGAAAGTGCAAAGTTGCATTGAACATGCTTTTTAAGTCCAGGACTCAAGTAGACTTATTTTGGCCAAAGAAAAAAATACAGATTAGAAATACTGTGAGGAAAATGTCCCTATGGTTCAGACTTTAAGCAAAGGGTATAGGATTGGATCAAGGTGAGATTGCACGTTAAAGTTTGTTTAAGTTTGGCAAAAAAAAATATGTCTCAAAGAGTGTTCTCACTGGCAATGAAAAGGGGAGTATCCAATTATGTATAAACCCTGGATTGCTGATTCTATGTATTGGCCAATGAGAGGCTTTGAAGCTACCGCTGTGGTGATACCGATGATTTGTTGCCACAGATGGTTTGTTTACATAGCAGGTTAGGATAATTAACGTGGCAGGTTAGGTGAATTAACGTGGCAGGTTAGGTGAATTAATGTGGCAGGTTAGGATAATTTATGTGGCAGGTTAGGATAATTAACGTGGCAGGTTAGGTGAATTAACGTGTCAGGTTAGGTGAATTAATGTGGCAGGTTAGGATCATTAACGTGGAAGGTGAGGATCATTAACGTGGCAGGTTAGGATAATTAACGTGGCAGGTTAGGTGAATTAACATGGCAGGTTAGGTGAATTAACATGGCAGGTTTGGATAATTGTGTCAGGTTAGGATAATTAACGTAGCAAGTTAGGTGAATTAACGTGGCAGGTTAGGTGAATTAACGTGGCAGGTTAGGATAATTAACGTGGCAGGTTAGGTGAATTAACGTGGCAGGTTAGGTGAATTAACGTGGCAGGTTAGGTGAATTAACGTGGCAGGTTAAGTTAATTAACTTGTCAGGTTAGGTAAATTAACTTGGCAGGTTAGGTGAATTAACGTGGCAGGTTAAGTAAATTAACTTGTCAGGTTAGGTAAATTAACGTGGCAGGTTAGGTGAATTAACGTGGCAGGTTAGGGGAATTAACATGGCAGGTTAGGTGAATTAATGTGGCAGGTTAGGAGATTGAGGTTAAGGTTAGGAAAAAGGGTTAGGCTTAGCTACAATGCTACAGTTGTCAACAACTGTTGTCCCCGACGCGACCACTAGTCTTAGCTGTAGGCCTACTCCATCTAGCCACAACGGTAGAAATGTAAACAAACCATTTGTGGCGACAAATCATCAGCATCATAAGACCGGTCGGCTGTATTGGCACTCCTCAGAAAATAAGTCTTCCATAGACGGGTTGGTTGTTTAGCAACAAAACCGACGCATGGGCAACTATGTGGCAAAACAAACGGGGTTGGCTTAGACTGTTGGCTATATTTAGTCTCAAAATGTTTATTGAAAACATAAATACATTTGCACAATGAGCACTTGTTGTCTCTCAAATACATCGTTAAAGTTGTTGGTTAGCTAGCTAGCGGATTTGAGCCATATTAGCATAGTCATGACATCAGTCAAAACACCTCAAAACAAGACATGGCATTAATAATAACATACAACGAGCTGAAACGAGCGACCTACGATTCACGACATGGCAGCTTCTTGTCATCTTTGCTAGCTATCTGACCGTTCAGAATCATAACAACGCACGCCTTCTGGCCACATCGATGCATGTGCATCATTTTCATGACATTCTCATCCAACCCATCTATTGGAATTAATTAAATTATACTTATACTATTTTTGTTTGCTCACATAATGTAAGTTAAAAGTATGTATTAACGTGTCGGTAATAGAATAGACGTGGCAAAAACACATTTAGACATTTATAAATGCATTTCTATAGCTTCCAAAAACGGTGGGAGAGTGCCAAGATAGAGGCGCGGTGGCTTCAGAACAGCGCCCCCTGTTGGCCATATAGTGTATATTTAAATCATTGGGATTATCAGGAGAAGAAGAAACGGTCACCATTTCGACCTGATGGAACACAGAACCAAACGCTGAACAAACACTTAAACCATTAGTTTAAGTTGTTTTATGTGATTGTATAGAATTTGTTGTTGCTGTTTTTATTATTGTTGCATCTATACTTAATCAAGTAAACTGCCATTATGGGTTGGGCGCTGATGGAAAGGAAGCACATGGAGGATGACGGTTTCTGGAGTGGAGTATGAGAGGTGGTTGGATGCGAGGACGATGGTGCCCGATGATGACAAAGATTATTCTGGCCCAGTGGCTGATCCATATGTTTTTTTTTACAGGGACAGTGCCCATTAATCAACATCAATATTACTGTAATGCAACATCCATGTAAATGTGCCGGGGTTAGCCAAGAGCTCATTTGCACCCATAGTCCCTGGGCAGGTAAGGGCAATTACACAGCCACAATGCAAATACTCACTCAAAACAATACAAAATACATTACATCCAATACAATATGATTATAACAACAACCTATTCATAATAAAAACAGTCATCAGCTGTTGTCGTACATATGAGGAGCCACAGATAACTAATGTGTACAGGTTTGGATAGATCTGAGCCAGGATTTCAATTTAAAAGTGCAATAATCAGTGTAGTTTCACAAATCCATGGGCGGTGTATTCCAGTATATTGTAGCTCTTACTGAGAGGGCTAATTGTCAGAGTTTACTGTGTTGGAAAGGGACAACGCAGTCCCCTGTAGTTACTGCCCTTGTTATCCTGGAGGTGCTTTCCTTGAGCATGACATGCTGGCATAGGGGTGGAGGGGCAAGGCCATGCAGGATCTTAAAGACAAGGCTGCATCTACATACTGCTTAAAGCTATCCAGACTGAATAAATTGTGTTTGTGAATGATGTGACAATGGTGGTAACTGTTTAGTTTGTTATAAAAAATAAACAATTTGTCCGTGCTACAGACTGCTCTATCGGCCCGCTAATACAGGACTAGTAAAGGTCCAGTGCACTACTTTTGTGAAAAATCATTTAATTGTTTTTTTATTAGTATTAATCTTTTTTTTTAATGATTTTTGAGGGGGTGCTACCCTCAGCAGCCCTACTTCCCGCGGCTATGGCTGTAGTCGCTGCCAAAGGTGATTCGAACATGTATTGACTCAGGGGGTTGAATACTTATCTAATCAACATATATTAGTGTTTTATTTTACATTGTTATTCTTATTAAATTTTTTACTATGACATTAGAGTATTTTGTGTAGATCGTTGACAAAAAATGACAATTATATACATTTTAATCCCACTTTGTAACAACAAAATGTGGAAAAAGTCAAGGGTTGTAAATACTTTCTGAAGGCACTGTATGTCCAGTTTAGATTGAATGCACTCCAGTAAATAGCAAAATGCTGTTTCGGTTGAATAGTTGGTTATGAATCCAAATGACATTTGATGTATGGAGTTGCCCTGGTCAGCTGATCAGCCACCCATCTTTCAGCTACTTTTGATAGCACTGAAAGGATGCTTATAGATCAGTAATTTTCCACCAGTGTTGGTTCACCAGCTTTTAAAATAGGCATCACCACAGCAGACTTGGGAAGATCCCAAATATTATTTGATGGACAGATTAACCAGATGTACAATAGGGGCAGTCAAATAATATTTGTGTCTTCAGGAATCGTGTCTAGACAAAAACATACATATTTTGTTCTAGAGTTCCTGAAGAAGCTGATAATACTGTCCACTTCTGATGCTAACATTTAGGGAATTCTGAATATTGTATGTTATTATCCATGGGGGTGAGAGCTGTGGTCTTGGTTGATAATCTTTGAGCCAGTTCTCTGACAGTCTACAAATACATTGTTAAAAGTGGTGGATATCAAATTACAGTCTTGAGTTATAATCACATTCACTTTTAATTCAGGATGCTTTTTGGACCTTTCAGCTCCTCTCCCTGTTAGTTTGTTGAGGTTTTCCCAGTTTTCCTTTGCCATTTCCTTTTGCTTCATTGATCACTCTGAGGAAGAACTCTGCTTTTTTTTTAAAAATTCTTTACCACCTTGTTTCCCAGTGATGTAAATACACGTCTGTCATCATTCTGACCAGACTTCAGTGCTTTTTTCAAGGCAAGATCCCATTCTCTCATCCGTCGCAAGAGGTCCTTGTTGAGTCATGGTAGAGGTTTTACGTCTTGGCTTACGTTGGAATTTCCTGGTAAAATAGGTATTCACTTTGCCTTTATCTGACAGAAATGTTCTGTATCCAGACTCTGGGTCTTCATTGCATACCAGATTAGACCAGTCAATTTGACTTATAGCTGCATCTTAGTTACTCTGTTCACTTTTCGGGATTCTTTGATCATACAGTTAATTGATATGGTTCTTTAAAAAATCAAATCAAATCAAATTTTATTTGCCACTTGCACCGAATACAACAGGTGTAGACATTACAGTGAAATGCTTACTTACAAGCCCTTAACCAACAATGCAGTTTTTAAGAAAATAAAAATGTTAAGTAAAAAATTGATAAGTAACAAATATTTTAAAGAGCAAATAATTAAAGAGCAGCAGTCAAATAAAATAACAGTAGGGAGGCTATATACAGGGGGTACCGGTACAGAGTCAATGTGCGGGGGCACCGGTTAGTTGAGGTAATTGAGGTAATATGTACATGTGGGTAGAGTTAAAGTGACTATGCATAAATAATAAACAGAGTAGCAGCAGCGTAAAAGAGGGGGTTGGGGTTAGTCTGGGTAGCCATGATTAGCTGTTCAGGAGTCTTATGGCTTGGTGGTAAAAGCTGTTAAGAAGCCTTTTGGACCTAGACTTGGCGCTCCGGTACCGCTTGCCGTGCGGTAGCAGAGAGAACAGTCTATGACTAGAGTGGCTGGAGTCTTTGATAATTTTTAGGGCCTTCCTCTGACACCGCCTGGTATAGAGGTCCTGGATTGCAGGAAGCTTGGCCCCAGTGATGTACTGGGCTGTACGCACTACCCTCTGTAGTGCCTTGCGGTCGGAGGCCGATCAGTTGCCATACCAGGCGGTGATGCAACCAGTCAGGATGCTCTCGATGGTGCAGCTGTATAACTTTTTGAGGATCTGAGGACCCAAGCCAAATCTTTTCAGTCTCCTGAGGGGGAATAGGCTTTGTCGTGCCCTCTTCACGACTGT